ACACACACACACACACACACACACACACACAAACACACACACCCATCATCAGCTTGACGGAGTCGGTGACGATATCCAAGGTGTAGAAGGGCAGCCAACAGAAGATGAAGATGAGGATGGCGATGGCCAGGAATCGAACCACGGCCCTCTTCTTACGGACGTTGGTTGTGACCACGACCGCTGAGCTCCAGAGGCGGCGCCGGATGTGCAGAAAGATGTAGACCATGGAGGAGGACGGGAGCACGAACAGAACCAGGAGGTCCGCCACTCTGAGTGAGAGACCACAGCATGGAAGTTTGCCTTTCAAAGAAAAAAACTTTATGATGAAAAACAAGGTTCTAGTACTTTATATAGACCCGGCTGTCGGACTATAAGGTGAAAAATAGTATAGGTTATCAACACTATTAGGTTATTTAAGAGGCGGGGCCTCCGAGTTTAACGTCCATCTCCGAAAGGACCGAACCAAATGGAAAATTCGTGTAAAGTGCCTTTCCCAAGGACACAACGTCGGACCGAGCTGAGGCTCGAACCCACGATTACGAGTCCGGTATCCTAACCACTAGGCTACCGACGCCACTTAGGTAAGGTGAAAAGGTGGCTAAGAGCAGCAAGAACAACAGACACCATTGCTGCAACACAAGACAGAGTGAAGTGGAGGTCCATGATCGCCCACGCCAGTCGGCAAGGCACCGGATGATGATGAAGGTGAAAAGATATTGAAGCCAAATGTTGCACAGAAGTAAAACGGAGAAAAGCAATATATATGGTTACGACTAGTTTCAATAAAAATGAGCCCAATCCTGAAAAATAGAAACATCTCACGTGTTACTTGTTACTTGTGTGAAAGACCGACATCACTGCACAAGGGGCATCCCCATAATAAGCGCTCCGTCCCCCGAAGAAGCACATCTCGTAGAAACATCTCAACGACTACCAAAATGAAAGTTCTGAAATGCTATGTATGGTCAAATCTTCTATAAGACAAGGAATGCTGGACAATCACCAAAGACAGTGAAAATAAAATAGAAGCGACAGAGATGTGGTTTCTTATGAGACTGCTAAGAGTATCGTGGAAGGAAAAGAATTCAAATGAGGTAATGCTTGATGAAGCCCACGTGGGACACTCACTGTTTAAAACAATTAGGAAACGACAAGTGCAGTTTTTGGGACACCTGGATAGACATAAAGGTCTTGAACATCTAGTTTTCACTGGCAAAACTGAAGGAAAACGAGGCAGGGGAAGGCCCAGAGCAACCTACTCAGGGAAACTAAACACATGGGTAACAGGTAAAGATCAGGGAAACGTAGCTTTTTAAAGAGCATCCAACCCAAAAAATGAATGGAGAACCATGATCGCCGATGTCTGTCGCAGATCTGGCTTTAGATAAAGGTTTTACGACGTTCGCAACTGCATAAGGTCAAATGAGCGCCAATCGGTGGTTGTCAACAGAGAAATCAAAACGAGGAATCAAGCTTACTCTGCTCACCTCTCTAGCCCCAATAGCAAAACATCTGCTTCAACTGCAAGTATCAAGGCACCGCGGAAATAGCGGTTCACAAGAGAGTGACAAGCATACAAAAGAAGTAGAGAACTAATAACGATAGTACGGAAGAAGAAAGAAAAAGCAGCTGTTCTCCTATGTTGTTCTGGCACAGTATGAGCATGACATTGATAAATCAGCCCATCTACAATTCTGCTGTGCATAAGAACATGTTAATATCCCCCCATTGGAAATGGCCATAAGACACTTCAGTCAGTAGCACTGACCCTGAAGTTTTTTCATTCTTGTATCTTTCGATGAAAAAAAACAACCTATCTATCTTTCATAAAAGTCAAGATAATTGCCATTGAAGAAGGTGGGGTTGCCTGGTTTCAGAGGTGAAATTTGCGAGAAAATGGCTGCCAAAGGTTGTTGATTTCCATAACTTGAGAGTCCTTGGAAACTGAAAATTTACATCAACGTTTTTCAGTAAAATCCACTCAAAAATATGTTCTTAAATGGACCTAAAGGGTGTTGACCCCCCCC